CGGCCCAGCTGGCCTTGCCTGGGGTTTTTCCTTCCCTTTCCTGGAGCCAAAGGTGTCCCGGCCCCCTGCCTGGTGGGGAGGAATGAATGCGACCAGGGGCACATATGGGATGTAGGAGCTGTCCCCAAGCCCGGTCTTGCCCACCGCAGAACTCCCCGCGGGCTGTAGCCTTGACCTTTCCTCTCCCCGCCTGGGAATGCTCGCCGTCGCCCGCGCGAGACCCTCCCTAGGGCCTGTTCTCCTAAGGGCTGGCCCTGACTCTTCCTAACTGCTCCCGCCTCCCCAGATCCCAAACTTCTTTTCACTTCGCCCAGCCTCTTCCTATTCCCGTGGAACTGACCAAATGGGACATCCCTGCTGATTTCCCACTGACTGTCATCAGCCGGGTGCTGTGGTTAATGACGCGCTCTGGGATTCCGACGTCGAGGTGTTTTACATGCTAACCCATGCAGAGAAGGGCTGTTTTGTCCGGCACCGAGCCCGTTCCGGAAACGGCTGCAATGATGTGCGGCAGTGGGCGTGATGCCATCCCCATGAGCGACAACGGACCGAGTTGGTAAATACCCCGTTCATTTTTATTTCAAGAAAGCAACATCAGCTCGTGATTTCCAGGTATAAACTTCACAGCGCCAACCTCAACCTTAAAATACGATAAAATTTACATCAGTATGTAAAAAGCTGCAAGTTAATGTTTTAAAAAGTCATTGTCTCCGTGGTAATTACACCGGGGTTAGGGGAGGGGGGGAAATCACTCAGCACGGAAGGCACAGACTCGTCCAAGCTCCCAGCAGCGCAATTTAAACGTAAGCGTTCTTGTCAAAGTGCTTCGGTGGGCTTTTGTCCGGGACGCTGTTGTGGACCTTTGTGCGCGAAGACATCACGGATGTGGCCCCGTTATAGGCGTAACCCCTCCTGGAAAGAGAATGAGAACGCGCCCCGTACAGCTCTGCCCGCGGGCGGGTAACAGCTCTGTATCCAAGCGTTAGGGCAAGAGCAAACCCAAAGACGCGGATAGGAACTTACCTACAGATTTCGCGGGAGGGGGCAGGGGAGAGACCTTCCTTGCCTCTCTGCTCGCTTTCTGCCTTGACATTTCCCCTCCAGCATCTCGCTTGGCAATTCACTTACACAACTCGCATCCCTCATTCCCAGTCAAGTAAACTGGGGCCCGGGGGTGAAATATTTAGGCTGTGGCAGACCCTAGGCATGAACAGTTATTCCCTCCAGCTCTGCCTCTTCGTTATCCCCCGCTATGCCACTGCCAGAGGTCCTGCTGCCACCACTGCCGGCCTCCACCTCTGTCTGACCATCTGGGATTAAAGAAACTTCTCTGTTCACACCTGTAAGGTGACCCCCACCCATTTCCTACATCAGCAAACACTGATTTTGTTTCCAGCTGTAGTAACTTTATCGAGTGTAGGTACCACAAGTATCTGTTGTGAGTCGACAGCTTTACCCAATCATGTTAACGATGAGCAGAGCATTATCCTTAAATCCCATTCTCTTCCTTCATCCTCACAATCCTTTTCTGAACCTGGCTAGGAAGGGTTTTGGAAAGGCAAGCAAACTGCGTGGGCGTGCAGCAGGTGCCGAGGCGCTGGTACCGACTTCTTCCCGTGAGTACAACTTGTGCTTTACCTCGGAGAATGACTGTTCTCGGCTATTGAGAAGCAGAATATACTGCCCCCAATGATGCAGAGTGAAGCTCCAGCCCATCCAATGAACAAAGCTGCTCCCAATTCGTACCTACAGGAAGTTAATAAATGGGTTTAACACAGGAGAGTGCAACTTCAACAGGGTTGGGGTTGGGGGTTTTTTTCAGAATAAAAGAATGAAATGTTGGTGTTTTCCTGAATAACTTTCCATGACATGCACGTTATTCATCACAAAATCAGCAGCTCTGCCATGCGCCCACGGTCTTTCCCTTATTCCTCTTACTCAGGAAACAACTCCGTCCCCCCCCCACACGTGCAACATACATGTACTGGTGTATCTGAAACATGCATACACACGTACGCACATACGTGCACCAGTATGCAGATGTGCACGTGTGTGTGTGCACGCGCCTGCAACCTTCTATTCCTCTAGTCCCTTTGGATGGGCTCAGGCTGGAAGACACCTCCGAGCCCTTGGGTGCGGCACCAGGACACCGGACACAGTCCCCTCTGCCGCCCGGGGCAGCCACCAGTTGTTTGCAGCCAGAAACCTCTCGGTGTGACTCCCAGAGGAGACAGTGGGGCCCCAGGAGGATTATCACGTGCGGGTAGGCCCACGTTTCCAAAGCCACAGTAGTAAATGAAGAAAAATAAGGGCATGGGGAAGAGATTCTTTTCCTCCCCTACTCCAGCTCAGCACCCTGAGCTCTGGAGCTTCAAGACAAGTGACTACGTGCCCTCTCCCTTCGCCAGCTCCTTGCCTGAGCTGCCGCTCCTTAAAACACTTGGAAGATGACCAGCATTAGGCTGCAGGCCCAAGAGTCTCCAGAGTTCCTCACTATCAGGATAGACTCCATGTCTCCTGCTCCTTCTTCCCAGCTCCAATTCTTCCTTGAGGAAAACTTAACCTCCTCTTGGAGCCTCTTAGGATCCTGCGTTGAGAACAAGGGTCCCTGTCCTCCGCCCAGCCGCTGTCACTGGTCAGGTGGCTGTGCCGTTCCGGCCTTCGTTATTTACTGTAAGCCCTGGTGAGGCGGCCGAAGGAAAGCTTCTGCTCAACAGCCTGCCTGCACAACTGGAAGAGGGAACAGTTGATTCCATGTGAACAGACCCTCATGTAACATGAGCTGAAATATGTACCTAAAAACATCTGTAAGCTGCTCTACAAAACTCATCTTTACCAAGACAGCATTGTGGAAACACTCCAAAATTGCCTGTGAACCTGGACACACAGAGAACGATACAGCGACTTCTGTCAGTAATAGGTCACATGGGGGTAAATGCTGGCTGGAGAACCAAAAAATTGCTTTTCCATTTTTTCTTGGGATTCTAACCAAAGGTAAAGCACAGAATTAAAAAAAAAAAAACAAAAACAAAAACAAAAAAACCCCCCGAACAAGTCACAGCAGGAGAAAAAGCCACACATAGGATATCAGTGCTCAGTCATTTGCCTAGGTGCTCTGGACAGGCAGGTTCGACTCTCAGATTTCTGACTCTGGGACCTCCTGCCAACAAAAGAAGGAGCCATGAGAGCTGAGGCGTGGGACACTTAGTGAGGGCTTGCACCTGATGCTTCGTGGCCCTGCCAGTGCTCTAATTTCTAGGCTGCTTTTTCATTTTCCATTCACAACATCTTAAGCAGCTTTTACTTACCATCCCTTGCTAAAAAAGGACCAGATTCCCCTAGATGTTCTCCATACCTGACGCGAGCTTTAGGCACCCAACCCCAAATCAAACTGCTGGAAACCATAACTCATCTGCGTTTCACCCTGGAAAACTCCGCACCCGGCCACGCGTGACTTCAACATCTGCCAAACACGTAGTTGTCGTCTAATTGTTCCTGTGCTTACATTTCCATCATTCGCTGTGGTTTCCACAAGCCCTGAGCAGATTCCTGTCTGTTCAAGGACCGAGGGGTTCTCTGATTAGAAGCAGGTATCTGCATCACCGCTCATCACCCAGGGTCCTGTTACAGTCAACACACACGAAATACACACAAAGCTACACTCCTGAAAACACACCCAGCGCCCCACACCCTCAAGATGCATTATCCAGCTGTGAAGGCAGACCAAAGGGATGAGGGAAGCCCCACCCTGGGGATCCCTCCATCCCCAGGGGCACTGACAGAGCATGCCTAATGTATACATGGAGGGTGTCCCTGCCCACGGCAGGGGGGGTTGGAACTAGATGATCTTTAAGGTCCCTTCCAACCCAAACCCTTCTGTGATTCTATGGACTCCCTGCAACAGTCAGCGTGGACCTCTGCGGTGCTGGAGAACGCAGCTGGATGAAGACCCAGGAAGGCTGTTGCTGTACCAACTTACTTGCCAAGAACATTTGCTTAGAAAGTAGGAAACACAAGTTTGTTTCCACATTTCCATCTAACAGCATTAACTGGTTGGCCAGAGGAGGATGTGAGAGAGGAGACAGATTGCCATCTCCCCTCCTGAGCTGTACAGAAGAGAAATCAAGATTGCATTGGGTTTAATCGGGTAGAAAAGGGTTACCTGACTGTTGCTTACTAATCGGGAAAGAAGACGTGGGGTCTGGCCTTTGTTCTTGGGATAGTTTGTACTTTTTAAGCCACGTTTGTGGCTATAACGATGCAGAAACAGATTGCACATATGGGCCCTTTGCAGGTGACTGCCACACCACTATGTTAATGAGTTACAGAGCTGGCCTAATTGGTCTTCCCTTCACATCTTTAAACAGATAAAATAATTTTTTATTTATGCTGGTGCTTGTGAGGAAAACTTCAAATTTTCGATTGCCTACCAACCTGTGTATGGCTTTAGGATTTTATCCAATCCATCTTTTCAGTGTTTAAGAAACAAGTCCTAACCTCCCATCAAAATCCAGTATGCACCATATGAAAAATAACGCCTTACATACATTGGTACCTCCAAGGAATGGGAAAAAAAGGCTTTTAAAAGATGACATTTGCTGGTTTTCATTTCCCTCTTTTTCTTGTAAAATCTTTGAAGGAAACACACTCTAACTCTTCTAATTCTTGCTTGCAAGAACCAAAGCAGCCACTCTCTGAAGTCTGTGGCTGCGCATCCACCGACAGTGATTCAGTGAGTGAAATCAACCTGATTCGAGATCACTGGCAGCTCAGGGGGAAAGGGGGACGTTGATGAAGAGGTGGTGACCGCTGAAGACTGCAGAGATCTGAAAGCCACCTTCAACTACACCGACCAAGCAGGCTAAGGATTTTTTTACTGCAGTCAAGGGAGGCAGAATCAATGAAATTCAGAAAGTATAGTATCAGTACAGAAGAAGAATACTGCAGCTGTTACATACTTCAGGACTATGAAGCAAACTCCCAAACAAGCCAGTGGCAGTTTCATGAGCAGACTGGATGTCTGCCTACGTAAAGAAGGTGCCTACGTTCTCAACAAATCAACACAACTACCCAAGGCAAATACGCGTTTTGAATGTCTGATTTTTAAAATTCATGGAAAGTGAACAATAGATTCAAATGTAACAGGACAGTGGAAAGAGGGCCTGTGTGAACTGAGCACGGTCCATTCAGAGACAAGAAAGGTGAAGGGAAACATCTATAAAAAAGAATGGGACGCTAGTCAGACAATTTGGGTAAACTAATCCCATTCATCAGTAAGAATAATCATGATTATGGAGTCCAAACTGTGGCACAAGACAAAAAGGATAAAGACTATAAAAGGGTTTTTTATTAAAAGTTGTAAAGTGACAAAAAAGTTTCCTAAGAGAAGCCGCGGGAGCAACGTTGGCAAGACAGCAAAACAGAGAGAAGCACTGATTTTCTGCTGTCAGACATAGCTGAAGGATGATTAAACCCACCTCAGATGAAAGCCCCGAGGCATCCCGCGCTGTTGCCAAAGCTCTGCGCATGTTACTATGCAGGGTCAAACAATTCCTCTGGAGCTGTTTTAAACTGACAGTGCAAACTATCACCTCGGGACGTAAAGTCCAGCCTAAGATTTCTTTACAAGTGAGACAGGTTTCAGGGTGTCCCCGTGGTGCCTGTCATTCCTTGGTTAGGTACATCAATGCAAACCTTGTTGTCTCTTGGGCAACAGCTTTAGGCAGGTCTCTGTCTCCCCCTGCACCCATACATGGTTAGGGAGCCTCTTCCAAATGGAGAAAGCTGGAGGGAAATTCTGATGGCTGAGATGATGCTGAACATCTCGTATCATTCGCTTCCCTCTAACGGTATCTCAAGCCTGTCTTTGAGACCACCAGAATGACTTCAGGAGAGAAATGTGTGGCAAAAGATGAAAGGCTGATACCCACAGCAGCATCCTCTCCCAGTGACAAGCCAATGCCAAATTTCCACAATACACCCGCAAAGCACATTAAATGCTTCTGCAACGCGTATCAGAGAGTTCACAGGCAGCAGTGAAATGCATCACTCCGACCTGGTTTGCACTGGTTGAGAGAGGAAGGAGTCGAATGCCACCACGAGCTTACTCTGGCACAAGGTCATTGCGTGAGCTGCACCGCGCGCAACTCGAATCACAGCTTCTGGTTCTCTCTGCCTTCGCCTTTGTAGTCGTGATTGCGTGCGCGTGCAGTTGAGCTATGCTGGCTGTTCGGGAAAGAGGCAATTTCTGCAGAGGATGTTTTACTAACTTTAATATTTAAACTGGACTTCTCATTTGCTCGCAGTAAAACTCCGCTGTGAGGTCTGCCCGCTCTTTTGCAGCAGAGCGGCGAAGGAATACAATGGAGGAAAGGGAATTCTGGCAACAACCACAGTATTTTTCACTAGGAACAGTAAGCCTGATGAATAATTAACTTCTGGCTATATAGCCAGGCTCCATTTTCTTCCCAGTAACTCACATCCTTGTTTCTTTTGGAGGCCTCTGGATCCTGTCCTCACCCTACCAGACAAGCAGAAACTATAGCAGAATGATGGAGGAAATTAATATGAACTTGTTTTCAAGACAGGGGAAGTCAACCCTGCTGCAAATGTGGATTCAGTCAATGTTATTTATTCAGACTATTTTCTTTCTACCAAGAAGAAATGGAAAGTCTCAGGGTTCCTTACTGAATCCTTGGACCTCAGAGAAATTTATACCCAATGCTTGATATATTCTGGAATCACCATCAAGAAAACTCTGAAATCCTTGTCTTTAAAGATAACTTTACATTATGTAAGAAGCTAAAACAGGAAAGACCATGATGCTATAATTTACAGCCAACGTTTTCAGACTCGGTGGATGTGAATCCAAAATCTAAGCACTGGCTCGTGAATTGCTGCCTTTGTAGGTCTTGAGAACTTGCACAGCTTTAACAGGCATCTTTAGGGATACTCATTATTTCTGGTATGGATCCTGCAATTCCATCAACAATCGCTTCCTTAAACTTAATTACATGTACAGTCGAGGCATTATGTTAGTGCTTATATGATTGCGGGTTACGCTAACTTTCATGATCCAAATTTCAGCCATCTGGATTTGAAAATCTGTCAGCCACAAGTCCACAGAGCCTGCAGAAACCTCTCCTCAAGAGGAGTCCAGATGGCGCAGAGCTCAACACCTTTATGGAAACCACCTTCTATCCAAAGCTTGAGGAAATAATTTTCATCCTTTCCTAACGAACAATGCCCTTCATGAGCTCCTCTGTCTCGTGCAACCCTTTTGCTGCATCTCTTGACATAAGCTCAAGCTTCGCCCCCGAGTAACCCCATCTGCTCTGCACCAAGCAGGGCAGAACCCTGCGGAGCTGCGCTAAGCCTGGGCAGAAAGACTGCAGAGCAATCCCTGTATGGGACGGTGTTCCTTCATTAAATTTCAGCACACGGTTATTCCCGTTGGAAAATATGATTAAATAAGTCTGTAGCCTGCTCTCCTCCTCTGCCCAACAGCAGAAGCACCCTGCCCTCTGCCTAAACGGGCGCTGGGGCGCAGTATGAAACTTAAGGTCTACTTTGGTGAAAGATTTATGGGTAGAGGAAAGTACTTACTTTTGTGCAACAAAAGAAGGATCAAAGAACTCAGACGTAATCCTGTTTGCATACAGGGAACAACTAGTCATAGAGCACAACCCTGAAAAGCATAAGACAAACCATTCAGTGGAGCCAGCAGAAGAGCTTTGGGCCTGACCCTGAAGCCAATGAAGTCATGGAGAATTGTGCGTGGATTTCTGCGGAAAAGCAGCAGCTCTGGTATGACTTCAAATATGCAAACTTAGAGAAATAAGGTATATTTACCAGAGAGTATGAAAATCAGCCCAGCTAAACAGGCTATTTTTGCTTTAGTCTGATCAGAGCCTCCAATTTTTGTACACTTCATCCCAACCAGTCCAAAAACGGCACCGAAGAAGCCCAGGCAGACGGCGGAGATCATCAGTCCTCTGCAGGCTTGGATGTAACCTGCGGCGAGAAAGAGAAAGGCTCACATGAGAACTGGGACCACATGGGGTTTCCCTGCAGCTCCTCTCCCTCTGCGCAAGGTTGGGCATTCACTCCCGCAAACCAAACCAGGCCTTTGCCAGAGCAACATCACCTTACCCTCGGGCGCATTCTCCGAGGTGATGTATGCTCTTCACAGGGCATCATCACCCGAGCCCTGCTCATAAGAAACATATTACGGTATTCAGGGCTGCAAAACGAAACCCCGTGGCACTGGGTACAGTATCTGCAAGAGGCTGGACCCATGAGGTTTTGACGAGCACCTCTCCGTGGTGCGCGCAGTGGCCGACGCAGGTCGCAGAGCCACTCCGCGCAGGCAAAGCAGGCCTTACGTGTCAGTCTTGTTGTGGTTCGCAAATGCAATACGCCTGGCAGCAGGTTGGCAGCACTGACCCTGGCTGGGGTCCTGGGCCTGCCCGGACATGCCACCCATCTGATTTGGATCCACCAAGGCGGCCCTCATTCTGCAAGGAAGTCAAACATGTGCTCAGCTTCGTGGGCAGCAGTAGCCCTGCCCCTTGGGAGAAAACAAATCACTGCCATACTTAAGCTTGGGCAAATGGCTTGCGGCTGGCTGTAGCCAAGTACAGTTTTCCTGTGCTGGCTGAGGCTGCTCTG